ATTTTATAGACTGAATATCACATTGCCCCATAAAATAATTCTGCTTTTTTCATTGTCAGAGATTGGAACTCTGAGAAGACTTTGTTATTATTAGCACAGAATAAACATTGGCACCACTAGCAGTCATAACAACCTCCTTCTGTGATGTCATCAGTTATACTGATGACATCACAGTATAAGTGAGGTATACTGGATAAGTGTAAATGCTGATTTTTCTGTGTAAATGCAAAATGTATATTCAAATTCATAATTAAAAAAAATAAATAACTTGGGTCATGGGCTTTAAATAGAGTCCAAAGAGCACACATGACATCAGGGAGAGACGCACAACCTGCAGCTGCCTCTGAGCTGAATTGGAGGGAGCCAGGAAGGACACAGGATACTCTTGTGTTTATGGTCCCATGAAAAAAGGAGAAAGTTCTAGCTGTGATATGTGGTCCTCTCTCTATCTCTCTATCTCATAAAGATACAAGAGAGGGCTTATCTCCATCTATCTGACGCGATAACATTGTTTTGTGAGAAGCAGGGCACCGTGGCAGCTGCTGCAGGAGCATGCGGCTAAAGTAACAAGAGTAGGTCCGGCTTGTTTGTTTACAGGTATGATTAAGTCACCTGAGACACATTGGAGATCAGATTACAATATTGAAGGAGAGGGCAAAAACATCCAGGCCGCCTTCTAATGGCCCCACATACTTAGGTTTTAACTGAGAAATACAGCTGATCTTAACTAAAAGTTTTGTTAAAGCGTCGGTAAAAACTGAAACGCACCCAACTACTCCACTCCTCGTCCAAGTTGGTCCATTTGAATGACTGAAGTTTATTTTGGTCACTTGTACAATTTTACACATTGTTTCAGAGCAGTACATTTACAGCAGAAAGAAAGAGCGAAAAGGAGAAGACTGAAGCTAATGATTATTTTGCTTAGCCTTTGTGCACTTACCCTACCTAAGTGCACTTAGTCTGAGTGAATGTATACAATAGGATTTACATTTAAGCAACTGTATAAACATCACGATTGTAAGTCCATGTAACCATCCAAAATGATAGTTTCAAAACTTATTTTTAAAGTGCAACAGTGATTTGGATGATTTAAGTTCATCTGTGCATCCATTCCAGGGATCAACCCCCCTTCGCTTTACAAACATGTCTGTTCCTCTAAACTCATAATGACTCTGATTTTGAACAGTTTCTGTAGTGGTTTTGACAGGACATTTCTAATCAATATCAAAGTGTAAAGGTCGACTGAATCATAGAATTTTTCATGTAGTTGAGAAGAATTAGTTTAACCCCAAGGCAGCTCTTATATATATATATTTATATTTATATATATTTTCATTTTCTGAGAAACAGCAAGTGCACCTCTATAGCTCTTGTAAACTGACTGAACAGCACTTATAAAGTCATTGTATTGAATAATGTGTACGCATATTCCTAGTTTCTTACAATATTACTCTAGTGTCTTAAAATGTGTAACTGAGGTTAAGCTACATGGAGCTACTTTTGGTTAATGCCACAATTACACAGCCCTTTACAAACATTGTACACGGAGAGCACACGGAGAATAAACAGTGATCTCTGTGCTTAAGTCTGTGTAACATTTGTGTTTGAACGCAGCAGGATCATCTCCGCAGCTCGGGAGGCGTATGATATCAGCTCAAAGAGAACAGAGAAACAAGAGCATTTATTTTTAATTTCCTTATCTGAGAAGGCTGAGGTCATTTAGAGTGATTTTATCATGTTCGGAAGAAAGTTGGATGAAACTTGTTTTTTAACATAGCAAAATATAATATTCTTTGAGGTGCGTTGGCCAATTGATGGACCCTTAACCACATGTGTCCACTGTCACTTCCTCACTTTTTCCATACCTTCATGCTGCTAACAGATGTATACATACAACTATACTTCTTGCAGTATTTTATACTTACTTCTTTATCACGCTAAAGTCAGAGAATTTGTACTTCCTTTTTGCTCATGCTATAATTAGAGATTTTAGATACGTTTCCTTATTATACTAAAGATATAGATTTTATACTTGCTTCTTTGTTATGCTAAAGTTAGAGACTATATCATATTTTAGTATTAGGTTATTTTTCATTTATCTTGTGTGCTCTTCATTCCTACTGTTCTGTAGCTGGTGATGAAACACTGAAATTTCCCCACTGTGGGACCAATAAAGGATCTCTTTATCTTAAATTAGACAAAACTGTTTTTATACTATCCCACAACTAATTGCATACTCATTCTGTAGAAATGGTGTACAGTATTGTTTTAGATGAATGGATTTGGAACCTTTTGAGGCAGAGACAGTCATTGTACATTTGGTGTGAGATACAAGAAGCTCCAGTGCAGCAGACTAAAGCTGCGATGTCCTGCCTCCGCTGGTGCCGGCAGGACAGAGGCTGCATTATGAGGCTGTGGGCTCAGCCAAGACCCAAACAATAGTCCCAGTGTGGCAAAGCCTCTGGAGCATCCCAACAGCTGGGAGATAGACACGCTGTCATTGCTTTTGCTAAACACATTTCCCACAATCCTTTGCCAGTCTTGTAATGCGTGGCAAACCATACACTGACTTGATGCCTTCATATTTATAATGTAAGTGAGCATCACCTCCACTGAGACGCTGAAGTCAGATCGACATTTCCGGGCAATAATCAAAGCACGAAGACACATAAGAAAAGGTCCATAGAGCCCTCACAGTGGGAGGTGTGCAAATGCTGTCGACTTTGAAACGTAAGAAAAACAACAATGATGTGCAAACAGAGTAGAAGGACGTCAACCAGTTTGAGGTGGGTTGTTTTCTCTGTAAGGCTGGGATAAAAATTCTGAGAGAGTAACTCTCGAATATGAAATCATAATATCACCATTATTGCAGTTTCTTTATTTCTAATACATTGGAGACACATTAAAAGTGGAATATGGGGTTGGCACTTACAAAAAAGCGTGTTGATTATGACTTTCAAAATGTACATTAACAATTAAAGCGACTTTGCAAAAGGCGCTCCCTCTGAGCCATTATCAACAATGTGAAAGTGGATGCCACAGAGGTACAGAATGATACGAACAGCTGCAAGAGGCCTCAGCATATTCAAATAGACTTCATGACTTTCCATAAACACTCTAAATTACATAAAGTAAAAGGTCTCTTTACACAAATGTTAAATTATTACCTCAAAGTAGTAAAAATATGCAGCTAAACTAGATGATGTATGTATTAGTTCAACCCTGCAGGCAAACTGAAACTTTTTGTATTGAATTTGAATATCATTTTAATACAAGCTGGAGTTAAGTTTCACCAAGAACCAACAGGCAGAAGGCAGCACTGAAACGCATACTGTACAAGAATCCAAGAACTGTGGGAAGTTTCTGTCACATACTCCTGCCTTCCAGAATTCCATGAAAGATGTGAATGATCTCAGTCTCTGTACACAGTGCCATAAGAATAATGCCTTCAGCAAATGAGCGCTGTAATGCCATCTTGGATCCAGATGTCCAGGATCCCATCACAAACCACCAAACCACTGTATTCCTGATATGCCCACTTTACTGGTTGCACTTGAAGTAGTACAAAGACGGTTTCAAATTTCACAAAGCATGATTTTCTCTTGGCTTCAACATTACCATCCCCCATGACTGCTGCAAAACCATAGCTTGCTGCTGGAGAAATAGACCCTATATCCCCCTCCTCAGAGGCAGAGTCAGTGCATTCTTAATGAGAAAATTAAATCACGTCCAGCGATGCCTGAGGATTGTCTAATCACACTGAAACAGATAAGAGGTTGTAAAACACAGCTAAAAATCACGTTTCTGTCTTTAAAAGGCTGATTAGTGTGTTTTGTTTCACCGGCATGGTCTCAGCAGTCAAAAGCAGCGGTTCAAAGGAGCACATGTACCTTTGCACTCTCTGTACATTATGGATCGTTTGGCTGCTTTTACATAAACTGCAGCTACGAATTGGTTTCTAAACTCACACTTTTCACCAGGGTTTTTTTTCCCACAACTGCCAGCATTCACAAACAGTCTTTGGTTGCCACATGAGTTCACCTGTGCCCTGGTTGAGTGCGGTAAGGTAACTCGCAGTGATGGCTTGACAGTGTAGAATTACATGGCCATTATTAGTCATCCCAGTCAGCTCTAGTTTAAGTTACGACATGGAGACTCCATAGGGAGACTGACAGGGGACCTTTAAATGCAGAACGTCTTGTATGAGTGAACACATGAGTGAAAAAATGAAATATCTTATGAATATCAGCCTACCTTTTGTGTTCTGTCCTGTTATATTCCCTCCATTGCTACTGAGCAGCAGCTGAGCAGTCCGCTGTGTCCAAGCATGTATTTCCCCACGTCGCGTCCATGATCATGTCTCTTGTAGATCACTGTTAAATAAATGCACTCCTGCTGAAGAGGCGGCGCGGCGTGGAACAAACTGGTACTTTTCTGAAGGGATATTCCCGGGAAAAAATCCTCAATCGTGAATTTACCTAGCTCCGACAAATATGAGACACGAGTCAGAATCAAAATACCAGCAGCTAGTCCCGACTGAGCAAATTAAAAGAGGGTTTTCAGGTCCAAAAGAGGCAACCGCGTGAGTTTAGAGCGCACTGTCCCCAGCACTGTCAGAGACAGTGGTACATACCGCTCTATTGTTGGAGGGAGCGGGCGAGCGTCCCATGCTGCTGCTGCTGCTGCTGCTGCTGCTCCTCTCTACACGTGTCTACATGTCTTTCACTAACAACATAAAACATAAAAACCAACATTTATAGATGTACAATTACTAATACACCTACATCAAAATATGTTAGGCTGTAATACTGCAAATACATATCACGTTAGATTAATTTATTCTTTATTTATGAAAACACGTCAAACTATTTCGGCTCAAACGTGTATAATGTGTATGTAATGTAAAAGAGTACTTTGAAAATAATAAATAATATTAAATGTTTATATTTTATCAGCGGAAGTTCCGCCCTCTCACTTCCGCCCTGTTCACAACATCCAAGATGTCTGCCGCCATCGCTTCCCTCGCTTCCTACGGCAGCGACTCAGATCCAGAAAACGAGTCAGAATCTAAAACCACCGAAGAGGCAGATGATCCGGACGCCACAGCGCACCTTAAACCATTACAATCTGAAAAGACAATGGCGTTGGCTGTCCTTAACTCTGCCCCTGAAGTCGCTGTAAAGGTACGATTGAAGGGGTGCCCAACTAGCTAATACGGCTAAAGCTAAATTCCGCTGAAACTAACGTGAAGTTAACGATCTAATGTTAATTTACCCTGTAAACACATTTATAGTTTTTAATGATTAGAAACGAACCCCTCCTTTCTACACTGTGCAGAATAGGATCTGTAGAACAGGCTGGGCTATTGTTTGTGTGTCCAATGTTAGCAGACTTGTCAGTGTTACTTATTGTGATTTCTTCCAGGAGTCTGTTGAAACTGGTGTGCATTTAGATCCTGCTTTGAAAGAAGTTTCTTATAATCCATCATTTGAAACAATGTTTGCCCCCGAGGTATTGTTTTTTTTCTATGATTAAAGTAAAATCTCATATTACTCATTGTATCACTACGTATGCCCTCTTTGTAGTTTGGACCAGAGAACCCTTTCAGATCCCAGCAAATGGCAGCGTCAAGAAACATGTTATCTGGCTATGCAGAACCGGCTCATGTCAATGACTTTATGTTTGAACAGCAAAGGAGGACATTTTCCACATTTGGTATGATCTACTACAAGAACATTATTTGGTTGTTTTACCAGATGCAATTTTACATTAAGTTACATTATTATTAGGTTATGCTTTGGATCCATCAGTGGACACAAACCAGGTTTCTGCTACCAGCTATATTGGTGCTGTTGAAGAAGCTGAAAAAACCCAAGGTAATGTTCCCCCCACACACTTGATAAAACCATGTTGTGGTTTGAGAATAACTTGTAAATGTACATGGTTTCTGCTGTTCAAAGGTGTAACTGTTTTTGAGAGTGGGCACAAGAAACCAGAAAAAAGGAAAAAGGTTAAAGGTGGAGACCCAGGCGAGATAGATAATTACCTGGGACCATGGGCCAAATATGTTGATGAGAAAAACGTGGCTAAACCAACTGAGGTAAATATTTGTTATATGTCTGCACTATGACTGGCTGTTTTAAAGTGATAAACACCTGATTTTTTTGATTTTTTTTTTTTTAATGAAGGATGAGAAGAAATACTTAGAAGAGTATCTTGCAAAGCGGCAAAAGAGAGGCAGAGTTGAAGAAGAGGCACCTGCTGAAGAGAAGACAATTCTCCATGGTAATATGTTTGCAACTATTGTTTTAAATCGATCAGTCCATTATGGTCTTTCTAACTGGTATCTATCCACAGTCAAAGACATGTTCGATTACCAGGGGAGATCCTACCTTCACGTGCCGCAAGACGTCGGCGTCAATCTGCGTTCCACAGAGCCTCCTGAAAAGTGTTACCTTCCAAAGAAACAGATCCATGTTTGGTCCGGACACACCAAGGTCAGTGGCCAAAGAAATAATTACCTTTTCCTTTGGAGTTTTGTCTTGTAGTTTTAAACAAAATTGTGACTGTTTGCAATGCAGTACAAAGATCTTAATCACCTGTAGTTTAGTATTTTTGGAACTTTGTCTGAGGCTTTTGAGTTCATTCACTTGTTCTAAATTGAGATTATTACTTTTTTGAGTAACTTTATTCAAACCATCTTAATCAAACTTGAAATACATAGATGTTAGGAAATATAATAAACACTGCAAACAAAATGCCTGACCACATCCCCTCAACACTCAGCAGAGACCTTACCCCAGCACGGATCACAAACTCATTCAACAGCCAGATGAGAATAGGAAAAGTTTTATTCGTGCCCCAGCGAGGAGTGCATGGCCCGTGGTCCGAGAGAGTAGCAATATTATAATAAACTGAGAAGCCTGGGAGTTATGTACACCTTTTAAAACTGGAGTTTCTGCATAATCTTTGTATCTTGATCGTAAAGCAGTGTCAAAAACATTGGGGGAATACAATGTCGTACCAAGTTATTAATTTCTATGTTAGGTTAAAACAAAATAGTGCTGCCTTTTGTTATCAGACCACCTATCCAGATGTACTCAAGATTTAGAGGGAGAGAAAAACTACAATTTGAATTTGTTGCAGAATAGGAGGCAATAACCTTAAAAATCGTAATGGCCAATTGGTCGCATACATCTGTAGTGTCCTCTGGAGGCTTGTGATGTGGCTTAAAAGATGTTTGAGCCTAAGATAAAATGATTGATGGAAGGCAGACTACCCTACTTTTAACATCTTGCACCTCCTTAAAAAATGTATACCCATTTACTTTTTATAGTTTAACTTTTCTTATAGTACTTTGCTTTTTTTCATAAAATTAAGTGTAGTCGGTAATGTCCCACCATTATTATAAGTGTTTTTAATGTTGTTTTTTTTAACAAAGTGGATAATATAAATATTGCCCTTTATGTGTGTTCCAGGGAGTCAGTGCAATTCGACTGTTTCCAGGCTCGGGGCATTTGCTTTTATCCTCATCAATGGACTGCAAGATTAAGGTAGAGTTTCATGTTTCTTTGTTTACATGAATGCGTCGCTAAATTATGATTCTAGTGTCAAAGATAATTTATTATTGGACAAATGAATATACTACATTGTTGTTATTTTCCTATTGTCTAGTTATGGGAGGTTTATGGTGAAAGAAGATGCATACGGACCTTTATTGGTAAGTAAGAAAATATACAGTTGTGCTCATGTGATTACAAACCATGGCAGAATGTAGGGCTGTAACAAGTTAAAGGCAACTAATCGATTATTGAAACGGTTGTAATTTACTTAAACTGACTTAAAATTGGTCAAATGTATAACAAAAATCCCATATTACTTCCCACATAACTTGGATTACAGCCACCAGAATGTATGATTTCTTGGCCATTTCTCAGAAAATAAGTATAGTATTCATGAACATTAAAAAATCTGGAAAATATTCAAAATATTAAATTACTATTACTAAATTTACACATTTAGATATTTGTCAAAAATATAGTTATTGATAATTATATATATATTTTTTTAAATTAAGCACAGTCCTATTAAGGATGGTTATTGTTTTAACGGTACCATTCAAACCTACCTGTTTGTGTCAACCTGTATTTTCTCTTGATGTTATGATTTTAAAAGTAATCTTCATCCAACCATCATCTTCATATTCTCGGAGTTATCATATAAAAATGTGCCTTGGTTTGCCATTTCGAGGCTAAAAGTTACCGAGTTCATGGGAAATGGGCTCCAACGACAAACCAGACGATTAAGGTTTTATTGAAGGAGGAGTAACCTGCATGGGGACCGTTGAAGACACCTGTGATCTTTCAAATAGGAAAGGTCTGAGGTTTATGCAGGTCACTCTCACGGCTCGGCTCACTGTCAGAATAGAGATTGTTTGCAGCCGCTGTTGAGCTTGTCAGCTCCTTCCCAGAAAATGCATAATTCAGCAGCAGTGGGAAAACCTGGGGCCAAGAAGAAGCCCTCGGCACACACTGGCAAATGGAGCTGAGGAGAGAGATGGTGGCTCAGGGGGTTGTGGCTTTGAGTTTGTGGGTTTCCCATAGTAGAATGTCTGTCCTTTTGCAAATTGGTATGTGACAGTATGTTAAAATTGTGATAATGAAGGCCACTATGGGATTATGACAAAAATCTGTTTTAATTTTGGTTAGCTGAAATTTGTCATTACATTTTTAAGCTTACTCCAATCTAAAATATTTAGTTTCTGTCAGGGATGGCTTTGAATCTTAACATAATATTTCACTGAATAAGGTGTATTCTAAATACATTATTTAGATTATACAAGAATACTAACATGCTAGCTCAGTAAAGTCTAATAGGCAATGGGGAGTCTTTATTTTCAGAATACCTTTGTGAATCCTGATATGACCCCTAGCCACTGACCAATCGAGTGCCTTCAGTTCCAAAATTCTGCTATAGTTTCCAAGAAGTAATGAATCAGCGCCACTATTGATTGCTCTTTGGTTGCTAGCCTGTTGCTACCCACGTCGTATAGCTCCAGAGTCGCACTCATGAAGCCTGTTTTACTTGGCTCTAATCGCCTTCCTCCTCATTAAGTAAACAGTAATGATGACATCACATTTGTCCACAGTCTATGGTTATTTCAGAATTTCAAGAGTCCATCCAATATACTGTTTGTGAGTCTGGTTTAACTAAAAACAGCTCATTGATTTTATTTGGCCCCGCAGTAGACGTGCACCTCGAGCTTTATAACTTGTTTTACTGCTTTATAATTTGCTGGTTCTGGTTGGAAGCTTCTCTCCACTGCTCTGTTTCTCACTGCTGGAACTGACCCAAGTTTTAAGAAAAAGCATAAAATAAATACAATTTGCATAGTTTTGTGACTGATATACTTTACTGATATTTTCTCTAATCGTATCTCCTCATTCAGCTTGCCCTTTTACTGGTTTTTTTGTCCCTCAACACAATTTTAATCAGTGTATTGTTTTCTTTCTGTATACAGGCCACAGTAAAGCAGTTCGAGACATTTGTTTCAATAATAACGGCACAAAGTTTCTCAGTGCTGGTTATGACCGCTACCTGAAACTGTGGGACTCTGAAACAGGTAGGATTAAGATCCTTCTTTGAATAATATTACCATCAATAAAAAATAAATAAAGCTTGTATAATAATAGTTTAATAAATACCCCCTTTTGTACTTTTCGCCCTGTCCAGCAGAGGGCAGACAATAGTAAAACCCCTTTTCTGACACTACAGCTGCAAGATAAATCCCAATCGAATCACGGAAGTTGCAATTATTGCCCATTTAGTATAAAAGCAGCTCACGCCATAGTTTCAAAAATGGTCATTCTTAGCAGTTATTTTTTATTTTCTTTCACAGTACAGAAACCCTGAACATGTAGCCAAAAATATGTGAGGGTAAATATAGGATTATTTACACTAGTAAATTTACACTTATCTAATTGTCTTGCTCCTCCTGTAAAAAATAAAAATCTCACCCTATCTCGCCCTGAAAATTTAGCAAAAAAATCGTGACTGGGTAAAAGTATTATGAATGTTTTAAGTTAATGAAAGTGATCATTGAAGATAATCCCACTATTAAAACAAACATCACAAATCTGAAACCTGCTGTCACAATTGGATAACATTTTATTATGGCAAATATATCTATGGATTATTCCCGTGCCCTGACTTTTCCCATTTCTCCCCCTTTCACAGGCAAATGCATCTCTCGCTTCACCAACAGAAAGGTCCCCTACTGCGTCAAGTTCAATCCCGACGAAGAAAAGCAGAACCTCTTTGTGGCCGGAATGTCTGATAAGAAAATAGTCCAGGTGAGCGAATAAGCAGTGTCTAAACGTGTCTCGGCAAGGCGGATATTTCCATCTTCACATGCACAGTATCGGACTAATAAATACATTGTCCTAGAGAGGCTTATCCTTCAGAAGTGAGTATCGCAGGAGGTGCAGGGGAAGACAGGATTAGACCAAGCTATTAATCACACGCTGCATTAGTGCTAAGGGGAGCCAAAGGTGAAGACAAACCGCGAACAAAATTAGAAGATCACGAGTGCAAGTTCAGACAGCGTTGAACGTAACAGATGCGCTACCGTACGCATCGTCATTAAAGCTTGGGGACCTAATTTTCAAACCACAACAAATAAGATAAGATAGATTTTATTGATCTCACACAGGAGAAATGTACACGTCACATTTGGCATGGATAGAGGCACGGATAGAGGAAGTGTGCAAACATGTTAAAGGCAAAAAATATAGTCTGTGCAGGATATATTATGTACAATAAAAAGTGGCAATACATGTGCAAAATACATGTATCTACTGTAGTTCCTCGCTCTCAGAACATTTTGGATCTTTCACTAGATTTCACATACTCTTGTTGCGTCCAGATAATTTTTCAGAAAAGTGAAAAAGAGGGGAGCACCATCACTCAGCCAGCTCTCAGCCCAAAGAGTCAGATAGAGACTCACAGGTCTCTTTGGGGAAGGGATGATAATCTATTAAGATGAAGACAGCATGTTGTCTACATTTTTTGCTAATTTCTGTATCCATCCACCATCTTCTTCCCCGTAATCCATTTCTGGGTCTGGGTCTGGGGGGGTGTGACTCAGAGCTGCACCCAATTCATAGAGCACCAGCCCCTCCGCACTGGTCCTCCTGTAGGTGGTGAGTCCACAGTGACATCACAGCCTTGACCTTTCATCGGGGGCTTTGAGGGTTCGAACCCACAACCTTCAGGCTCAAAGGCCAACTGAGCCGCTGTCGCCATTTTATTAACATGTATGGATATTTGTCAACCTGCTGCCTATGGACCAATGCCTCCTATGTGTTTGTTATTACTGCATTTCCTGTGTTCAAACCGTTTCATTCTCTGATCTGCTGTTGGTGAATTGACAACTTTGTAAAGTCCTCCGGGGAGACTGCTGTAGGGCTATACACAAAAATTGAAATACAAGTACAATTTAAAGCTTATTTTTCTGTCGTGTAAGTTTGCACATACACAACATGTATATTTGTATTTGAAAATAAGTCTCTTGTCAAAATGAACATACAACATATATTTTTTTTTTTTTTGCCAGTGGGACATCCGGACAGAGGAGGTGGTCCAGGAGTACGATCGGCACTTGGGAGCCGTGAACACCATCACATTCGTGGACGAGAACCGGCGCTTTGTCAGTACGTCTGATGACAAGAGTCTGCGAGTGTGGGAGTGGTAAGTGCAGTAATTATCGCTGACCTCTTGTTCGTTCCAGTCCAGACCATTAGCGCGGCTTGTCTCAGGCATCAGCGGACTCTGCTTTGGAAAGAGTTTCTTAGGACTGTCTCCTTTAGTCGCTATGGTGCCAAATGTTCCGTAGTCTACTATTGATTTGATCCCCAGTTAAGTAATCCCTGTGTGGAAATTTCAAAACGGAAAGAAATGGTGCAAAATGTCTGAAGGTTTTGGTATTTACTTTTTCAAGCCAGTTCCAACTAATAACATTTGTTCAACATTTCTGGGATTTTAGTTTTGAATAGATTATTTTTCTTCAAATGAATCAGGTTTCATGAGCACAGATTCAAACTACTATTTATCCCTCATGGGGCATTTCCTCTAACCAACATTGGGCATCAAAACATTAACAGTTGAGGCTGTTTCCATAATTTTTTCAAGTATTTGCCCCTTTTTTTAGTCGACTAAACAAAACAAAAACTTGATTTCAGACGACTTCAGTCAATCATTAAGTTAATTTCAGTAGATTATTTGAACTTGCATTGAACCAGTCAAAAAGCCTTATGCACAATGTGGCTGTTTTTGCTAGTGTCGCTTCAAGATTCAAGAATTTATTTGCCATTTGCAGTAAAACCACATTGGAAAAACTGTGCAAGACTACCCCGGTGTGCACCAGTTTTTTTATTTCGTTTTTTTTTTTCTGAGGACGGCACACACCAGAGCTATTGCCACGTTGCCATTTTCCGCTTTTCTGCTTTGGTTACAGTCTTCAAACCGGTGATGTTGTTGGAATCAACTTGAATTCTTAAAATTACTTTTATTTGCTCTGATATTGAAAACATTTTGGCCGACCAATCGATAGTAATTGTTCAATCAACCAAGAATCTTGTTGCCTTTTGACTATAGCCCCAGAGTTCTCATCTGTCTTTTTATCCTGTGCCTTGTTTTTGTTACCCCTGATCTGGCAAATGTCAACTATTTGAATCAATAACATATAAACTGGATAAATTATGCTTATACTAAATTGAAAAAAAATCTAAAAATATGTATTGATGGGATGTCAACAGATGTTAGCTCAGTGCAGCGTGGGAGCCAGTCTGAAATCAAAATGACTCTGGCTCTTATCTTGTTTTAGAACGTTACTTTACTGTATGCGAAAGCCAGAAAACACTTGAGCAGGACATTCTTGCGAGATTGTGAGAGTGGGACAGCGGGGCAGCAGCTGGAGACGTACGCTGCAGATGGTGCAAAAAGATGAGGCAGCGGATTTTTTTGGGAAGCCGTTGGTTTAACAGCCTCGACTCTACACGGAGCTATTCACACGCACTTTCTCTGTTGCCCCGTTGGGAGTAGTCAAGAAAAAAAAGTTGCCTGCCAATTTTTGCAGTTTCTAAATTATATAATATGAGAGTAATCCCGATGAGTACATTTCTGCAGATTCATGGCAGAAATGTTATGATAAAAGCTCACGGCAAGTTTATTTGTATAGCACAGTTCAAGGCAACAATACTGAACACAACAAGATGGACACAGTCAGACGACGCATTCAAATCGTATATAATCGCAATGTCTATTCTCTTTACTTGTACTTTAGAAATTTATGATTATTTATGTATCTATAGGCATTAGGGCAGTCAAAATTATTGCATTAACTCACGTTAATAAACATTTTCATGAACGCGTAAAAAAAAATTAACAAATGTCCAAATGACTTGCCCATTTATCCATAATATCACTCAGAATGCAGCGGACTCGTGCGTTTGTGAGATGACATCAGAGCAGGTAGGCCCACTGGGAATTTAAGTTTTAAAAGAATACACGCGTGACTGCGGGGCTGTTGTTTGCTGTGAACTGAAGGCCGCCTCCCGGGGCACACACCGGGGGCAGCTGCGGCTGCTCTGGTCTCCTCCTGAAACTAAACTAAACTCGCTAAATTAAAGCTGGGGTATGTAAATTTTCCCGTTTCATTAACAGCTCATTTTGGTTGTGCCCAAAGTAAAAGGTTGTGAGGAAATCTAACAGATTTAAGTACATTTTGTATGAATGACAATGTGCCATTACATTTGATAATCTCATTTAACTTCAATTGGAGTGGATTTTAAATAGAATGTTAAAAATGCGATTAATCGTGAGTTAACTCGCCAATACTATGCGATTAATCAACTAAAAAATGTAATCGTTTGACAGCCCTAATCGGCATACAATATAGATGTATGTTATACATATTTAACTTGTTTGTTCTATATACCAAAGCAAATCCGATGTTTGTGACTTCTTGTTGCCTACAGTGGAAATACAAATGATTCTGATTCTGGTATAAAATATAAATGTGTTGAGCAAAACTACTACAACTATGAATAACAGTCAATCATGTGTTATTCATGACTGCATTTCTTTTCCCCCTGAATCCCCCTCTACCCCCTCTACCTAGTTAGGGTCTGACTGACAGACTTCTAAATCTTTTACTCCCCCTGTTCTCATCTGTAGCTGTTTCTATTGTACGGCATTTGTTAACGTTTAGTACATTTTCACACAGTTCTCTTCAGCTCCACTGGGAAAGTTGCAGTTCATGAAATTTGTAAGGGACGACTGCTGCCCTGGGCCAACAGAATGGAAAATGACTTTTTGTGTAGTGGTTTTATAGCTAAGAAAATATAAAAATGGCAAAAACAAGGATTTGGTATGTTGTTATAGATGTTATAGAGTTATAGAGTTGTTATAGATATATATATAGATATATATATCTATATATCTATATATATATATTATATATTTTATTTATTAACATAATATACAGTCAAGGGACTATGTTAAATATGCATTTTCTTTTGTATACCTTTGTATACTTTTATATAAGAAAAATTAATAACCTTCTGAAGCAGTCTCAGACACTATAATAATAAACTTGAGATATTATGAGAATGAACTTGAAATATTTTAAGAATATTCTCTGAATATCAGATAAAAATCAGAAAAATTCAGTCGGTGTATAATATAAACAATAGAGCTCCGTCTTATATATAACCCTAACCCTAAATGCTGTTCATTTAGCTGAGACGCCTTGTACAGACTTCACTGAAGCAGTTTTATTTTTATTAACTCTTAAACTGATGAACAATTTATTTGTTATGAACTGTGAGCGTGTAAACACGATATCGTGTCTCAGTCGCAGGTGAAGGAACGCAGGTTTATATGACAACCCACGCAGCAACTTCACCTGCGACTGGGACAGAGCGCGTACGTGCACAGACCCGGCAGCAGAATTGATCAAATCATTTCTATATAACGTTGAAAACCAATAGTGTAAGAGTAAAGGAAAAGAGTAAATCCATTGAGTGGTTTAACAAACTCTGAATGGAGAAGCGCTTTGTACATTTGTGATTACATATCCTCTTTATTTTGATATTAATGTAAAAAGATTAATTCTCATAATATTTCGAGTTTACGACTTTAATCACATAGCGTCTCATGTTGTAGATGTATTTTTCAGTTGGAGAGCAGGTGACAGTACAACTCTAAGAACAAGAGGCAACTTGAAAAAGAAAATGTTTGAAGATTTTCCCAGATAATTATTTGACAGTGGATTCGCAAAGCCGTCATATTATTCTACAAGTCCTTTCTATTTTCAATGAGATAATAATTATAACATGATGATGTGCATTGACACAAAAGACATGGAACTTTGTGAGAGTTTTTCTTTCATGTGGATTCACCCAGGAATGAGAGGAGATGGATTTAATGAATACTCTGGTTAGGGTCTGACTTTTGACTCTTACCTCAGCACCTCGCCACCACATTTTTAAACCATAAGCCCTTTATAATGTTGTCCTCCATAGTTATATTTTATCTAATAACTTTCTAATTTCTCCTCTGTGACATCTTAAGATCTTATCTTAAGATGTCACATGAACACAACCTATTGCATTATATTTAGCTTGAACAAACAAACCGCGCTATACGTTTGTATCGTCTGCTTCTGCGTGTGTGTGTGTGTGCGTGTGTGTGTGTCTGTGTGTGTGTGTTTGCGCTCCTGTTGTCTATTCTTTAACCTCTCATTTCAATTTGATTTCTTCCCAGGGACATCCCCGTGGACTTCAAATACATTGCCGAGCCCAGTATGCACTCCATGCCAGCTGTTACGCTGTCTCCCAACGGTGAGTTATCCAAACACGAGACGCTTTCATCCGTTCTGAAAATTAGATCAACCACAGCGCACAATGCCGCCGTCAAACATGTCAAAAGACGCAACTTAAGAATCTAGAGTCTGACACACTTTTGCGACACCACAGCCAGCCTATAATAACACATGGTTAATCACGGATGCTTTGTGTTCAGCTGCTGTCTCTTCACCTCATTCTTCTCTATTAAAACAGACAGAATGTGTCTTAATGCGCGGCTCACGGCAGACAGCACTTTGCATTAATGACAGCAGAGACGAGAGCTCCTACAGCAATTATGACATAAATATTTGTCTAGACTCCTGGGTTTATTTATTCGTGCTAATGATTTGTCTATTGCTTTGCTAGTACAATCAAAACCTAGAAGTTCAATCATTGACATTCACACATTACTGAAGATTTGGAGCTGCTTTAGAGGGGCATAATGCAACTTTTTATGGGAAAAAAAACAGCAGTGAGTGACCTAGTGGCCGTGAAAGCGGGCAGTATGGTACCTTGACTTTTGATCACAGTTGTGTTGACAGTGCTCCAGGATCAATTGTTTGTAGGTTTTCTGGTGCAGGGGTCACACAAGAGAAAACCTTCCAAACGATTGATCCTATAGAGTTCTACATACCACTTTGCTTCATCCAGTTTGATTTTATTATGTATTTTTTTCTGTGACTAATTCCTGGTATATCTTGTGCATGTTTATCATCTTTTATGGACATTATTCATCTGCCCCGTATGGACCAATGTCTCATTGCATTTCGTATGTTTGAACTGTTTTGATTCTCTGATCTTTGTTGGCGAATTTTACAATTTTGTTGAGATAACTGCTGTTGGGATGTAGGGCTATACAAGAACATATTTAATTGAATGTTTGAAAAGTAAAGGCGGCATGTTGGACCTAATGGACACTAATAATGCAAACTTGACCTTGATTTTCTCACCATAGAAAACATGAATAATGCTCAGTCGAGTCCTTGGCGTTTTTCTTCTCCTGTTCTGATATGAGAGTTGCAAGCAGCAAAGCACAAACAATATTTAGTCTGCAGCTATAGATCCATTTTCCATGAGATGCAATTCTGAGTGCAGTGACATGTGCACTTGTCAATTTTATATATTTTTTTACTGCATTTGGTTTTTAAGTGATAGCGTAAAACGTAAATGTGTTTTTGACATTTGTGAACCTTGTTATCGTTATTCTATTTGTTTTACTCCAGCCGCACATTCTCAAAAACCAACCTTTGAGTAAACCTGGTGGTAATCTTGTATTAAAGATTCCCATCAGGTCTCCTTTCAAGAAGAGCAAGAGGAAATATCTTTGTTGTGGAGAGGCCACCGATGCTTTTGGGTGTTTTTAATGAGGAGGCAAACAAAACAACCTCTTATTATGTTAAAAAAGAAATAGAGTGCTGTGTGCTTAAGGCGCTTTGGTGATTTATCTCAGATCTGTAGTTAAAATGTTTGTCCGGAATGCTGATGGCTCACTACACTGGTGCAATTACTGTGTCAGGTTGGCCGCGTGTCAATACTTAAAACATATTATAGTGGCAGATGGAGGCATGATCCAAGCAGAAAGTCGGTGTTGAAGCATAATGACAAACTCATGACTTAATGAGCGCTTCTTACATTCTACGTATCCAGCATATCATTCATACTTAAGTATTTCCGTTTAAGAGAGTGTTTATTAAAGGAAGTAAGAGCAGAGCAGTTACTCTCATTTCTCTCCTTAGGTAAGTGGCTGGCATGTCAATCTATGGACAACCAGATTCTTATCTTCGGAGCGCAGAACCGCTTCAGGCTGAACAAGAAGAAGGTCTTCAAAGGGCACATGGTGGCTGGTTATGCCTGCCAAGTGGACTTCTCTCCTGATATGAGGTGCGTATGAGGTCCTTGCTGTCTCCCGGCACACGTCAAAAAGAAGTGGCAGAGTGGGATTTAGTTTAAATTAAAAAGAAAATGTCTTGCGATTCAGTGTGCACCGAAACGGCCAATTACCAATCTCCTCCTCTGATCCACATTTCCAAGCGGGTGCCTCTGAAACTGTTCTGAAAAGTTCTTAACTTTCTATTTTGTTGTCGTCTTTTTTCCCCTCGCTAAACAATCTACTTTCATCTGCAGTTATGTGGTGTCTGGAGACGCAGATGGAAAACTCAACATTTGGGATTGGAAAACCACTAAACTCTACCACCGGATCAAAGCGCATGACAAAGTGTGCATCAGCGCTCTGTGGCACCCCCACGAGACCTCCAAGGTCATCACCTGTGGCTGGGACAGTCAGATCAAACTGTGGGACTAAACCATGGAAGAGCAGGACTGAAAGAAATGCATTTGAATACTCTGCCACACGGCTGGTATCCAGTCTCAATGTTGCTATTTGTTTTTATTATGACACGTGCGTAATGAGCGGTTTCCTTTTCATCTTTTAACATTTTTTATTTTTAAATGCTTATTCCGTCAGAATACATTTGTAAATCACACCTATACAATGTTCAGTTACAACTTGTGGCAATAAACAATCTGTACATTTTACTTCTTACTTTCATTTCAATTACTTAGTGTACAAATACTGTTCTGTTTGTGGTATTCAGTTAATTTAAGTTGGTATAATACCATGGCAACGATAACTTGAGCTGACCTGCAGCCCAACACCTCCACAGCGCAGTCCTGCCCCATCTGCAAAAGGCAATTACTCCTTCGACCTGAACAAGGCTGGGGTTACTGCGAGGACTGCTCTGTGAGATGGCTCTTCGGAGAGTTTAACAGAAAGGTCAGGAAAAGATGATGCATTCGTAGAGCTGTGCAAACCAATTCAGAGCCACTTTGTGTTCACCCAACTTAAAGTGTAGGCGCTGCTTGCATTTAGAACATTCTTGTGCAAAAAGACTTGAGGTTTGGTCGGGTCGCTGTGGACGTGGAAGAGGCGGAAGTGTGCGCGCTCCAGTTCTTTGAGGAGACTGAACCAGTATCGCACCACAGCGGGCTCGTCTCCTGGGACCTCGAACCCGGCCCAGTGCAGGTGGACCTCCAGGAGCAGCTGTCCCACCGAGGAGAGCACCCCCTCCAGGATAATGTTCTCCAGGATCTTCCACTCTGCACTCTCCATGTCGGCCTTCAGCACATCCACCTGGAACACGGAAAGAAAAGTAAAACATGTTCTTTTTACACTGATTTTTAAACCAGGCCATGTCAGGACGCCACAGAGTGCTTTGATCATGTTGAGTCAACAGTCAGCGATAGAACACGTCATTAATTCATGTGACAAGTTAGTCTTCTATGGTCTAATCATTTTGCTCCATCAGCTGTTGGTGTTACAATACAGAATGAAACCGGGCTTGAATTAAAGTGTGGCCTATATGTGAATAAAAACTTTCCACTGAAATGTAGCTGGTGCAGTGCAAATATGGGATTCATAGCAGAAGGACTCACTATTTTATTCCTTACCAAATTATAACTTGCATAAAAACCACATTCTCCAGTAGAAATTCAAACAAAAAAATTCTTCAAATCCATCTATAGGATTTTGAGCTAAAGGTTATGATTGGTTTAGCTAAAAGAACCATCTTAGCCTTGTCGCTCTCAGACTCATGGGCTGCACCCCTCTTATACACAGTATATTTTGTAAATGGGATGTGGATACAAACAAGAATAACAAAAACCAAGTCTGACAAGTTTCATTTTGATGGGACAACTGGCAACTAGACAATTTTTGCTACAGCCTGGCATGTCACACACACACACACACACACGTCAGAATGAACCAGGCATATTCATTCAGGCTTTCTTGAAGACATTCTATTAGTCTTAGAAATGGGCACCATACCTGACATTCCGTTTCTACCCTTACGTAGAACTACTTATCGCAACGACATAACCAGCACGGCATGTTCTTGTTTTTTCATTTAGCAAAATTACTTCACCAAAAGCCTCTTATGAGAAAATAATGGGGTTTGTTGGGATTCAATTAACGTTGCGTGGAGTAATCTCTGACCTTCATTTCTCATTCATCACACTCCAAACAAGCCATTTTCTCTTTTATGATTGAAGTTGACAAGCGCTGGTGTGGCTTCGCCAGTACATGCGGAGGAGGCATTGATTTCTTATGTAAATCTGAAATGCAACCTGACAAATACATAGGCAAGTATAATTAATGAGAAAATATAGTTGCTTTAGTACTATGATGATGATAATGATTCATCAGTTTTATATAGCGCTTTTCAGACACTCAAAGACACGTCACATGTTATTACTCTTTCTCTCCATAGTAGTGATAAATTAATAGCTACAGCTGCCCTGGGGCACACGGACAGAAGCGAGGTAACCAGTATGAGCTATCAGCCTCTCAGACCCCCACCAATCACTCACATCAGATTCATTCTAGGCAATGTGTGGGTGAAGTTTGACACTCTACATCTGTAGCCGCCTCACTGTAGCATCTGGAGTTCCCAGAAGTCTCCCATCACAGTACAAACCAAGCCCTGCCCTACTTAGTTTCAGAGGTCTGACAGGATCTGGCTTTCACAGGCAGGCATAGCCTTTACCTGTCTGTGGCCGAAGTCGTTCAGAATGGTGGCGAGCTTCTTGGTGTTGCCGTGCTGGTGCTGGGACACTAAAGCCGGGTTGGGGTCCCTCCAGTCCACGGACAAACGGTGAAGCCACATCTGGGCCTTCTGCAGGTGCGGCTGCTTTAAACTGGGGTCGAAGCAGTGAACGTCACATCCTGATCGGACCAAGGACATCTCCAGGGAGCGGTCGTCAGCTCCGAGACTGCCAGACGGGTAAATAGAATGCCATTGTTATGTTTTATACTGTACATTAGAGTGTTTCCTAACCCAGGGTAAACAAGGATATTTCAGGGGCTACTTGACATGATTTAAGGTATTTTTTGAACCAGCACACATTGATAGAGGTTTATATGTTTTTGTCCTTTTTTTGTCAGTTGATTTAGTTTTAGTTTAATATGACTTCTTGCAAGGGACAGATATTAGTCATACTCTGCACACAATACAAGACTAGCCTTTATGGATAAGTGCTGAACCAAAAGTCTGTGTTGAAATTTGAGATCAAGAAGCTAAGCAGGGAACACATTAACAATATGGATGAAGATGTGGTCAGATGACATAAAAATGTAACTCATTTGGTCCGAATTCAATATGTCATGAATGGCTCAAAACTAGCACTGCGCATCACCCCCTAAGTGCACCATCACCAGAGTCAAATATGGGGGTGGCAGTATAATGTTATAGGGAGGATGAGAAGGTGGATGGAGCAATATACAGGACAAGACACTGGAGCTGGGTATTTCACAACGTTTTTACTCATGCGCTCTGAGATTACTCATGTCCAACACGAATCATGTATCCTTTTACTTTCACCTCACACTTGTCTGTTACTTATTATTGAAGAAATCAAATCAAAATTGTTGTTGTTTATGGTTGTAAACTTGACATAATGTGCAGAAGTTCAAGGAGTACTTTCAAGAGGCACTGTAGGTAACACATACATGCTCATCTTAATAGATAGATACTTTATTGATCCCCCATAGAAGAAATTCAGGTGTCCAGTAGCAGCAGCAAAACCTCCATACATCCATACAAAACAAAACAAAAGAATACATCATTCTAAAAGTAGCTAACAATAGTAATAAAATGCAACAGCACTTTAGGTCACAGCAGCAGAGGTGGTTAATATGCATGTACGTATACCATGGTCTGTGAGAATTCCAATGCTAACTGCCGTGCATTTGTTTGTATATACGCACACGTAGTCCGGTAAGTTTAAAATCATGTGTGTTCTAGATTCTGCGCCGTGCATTATACCTGTAAAATTGGGGTGACAGTGGCTCAGTTGGTAGAGTATTGGCCTTTGGGCCCGAAGGTCGTGGGTTTTGAGCCCACCACGAGACCTTCTCCACCGACTCCCACTGATGTCTGCTGTCGTTGTGTCCTTGGGCAAGACACTTGACCCAATTTGCCTATAAGGAGCACGGAAGTAATGTTCGGTGCTTGCCTTGATGTGTATGCACCAAACTGAAATTTCCCCATTGTGGGACGAATAAAGGACCTTCTTCTTCTTAATGCACGGCTCCTTGTAGTCTAATCCTTACTTAACTAATTTATTTTTCACGTTTCATTTAACCTGGAGAGTAAGTGCATTCAGTCTAGCCTTGACAATGCCAGCTCCCCCCACTCATATGATTTTATACCAATGAATCTGCTCATAACACTTACACACACCACAGAGAGCCAAGGGTTCCAGGATAAATCTGTTTTTCTCAACCTCCCACAGTCCCTCAGCCCATTAATTTCCAACGCAATGTTTCCGCTCCTCTCTTCATATCTTCACTACTGTCTCCTTATCCCCACGTGTCTTGTTTGCTCTGCTGAAGTCTCGGGAGCACATTTCTCTCGCCACACATTTTAACGGGTGAGATATTTTCTGACACGGCAATAGAGAAGGCGCCGAATAAGCGAGACACAAATGCCGCCTGATGTTATAAGTGCTTAAATATGTTATCGAAAAAATGCTTTGTTCGCTGCAGTTGATGAGACAAGGGGCGAGGATTATAGTCTCCCATGTGACAGCTGTACCGCGATAGCCTTGACGGTCGGCAAAGTGCAAGGCTGCTTGATATGAAAGGGAATCTTATTATTAAACAGAAATGATGTGGGGTTAATATGGAGAGCTCTCTGTTCACCAGCTCCATGGAAACTACCTCTTCAAATGTATTCTGTGCTGTAAAAAAAACTTGCAAATTGGAGTCGACCTTTCTAATGCATGAGTATAGTAAGTATGAGTGACGGATGTCCTTGTTTACAGCTATCGTATAATTGATTGGGATTGGATTTGAGTTGAGCTATTTCTATGTATTTTCTAATCTGTTGTAATACATTATCTGTGAGCGACCGTTTCATAAGCCTGGTTTAATAATAATAATCTATAATTGGATGGAGTATTATGGATATGGAACTTACAATGTGAAAGGAATAGTATGACAGACGCACTACACGCAAAGTGAGATATATCAAGGTTGTTGATAATGTTGATTATTGACTCACTGTTTTTAAAATCCCAAAATAAAATATATTTCTTACAGTCCATTTCCAGATGAATATTGTGGAAATGGACAGTAAGCTAAAATCATCCCAATTATAAGAAAAAGGCTAACCGTGCGATGAGTCTATATCACTGGTTTCACATTATAGTTGGATTACAGAAATAGATAAATACATTTAATCTGTATAAAAACATTTCTAAAGTCTACTCCAGAGGGCTGAGTATAGGTGTCTCTAACCTTTTTCACCAAGAAAGCTACTTTCCCAGGACGATAAAGGCAGAGAGCCACTCCTTTAAGCGGCCCAGGGAAAAATATGGTGATATATTGGTGTGAACAAGCCTGATATTGGGTACAGTCATAATTTATCATTTCATATTTGTTACTCGTAAGTGCATTTGCAATAATAAATAAGGATAATGAAATGAAATGTGAAATATTAAGTATGTTATTTGATTTGTTCATTTCTTAATCCTTTTGCCGAGCTACCTGGAAGGGGGTGGCGAGCTACTGGTAGCCACAACCATCACAATCATAACAACTTTGTTACTTTGCATGTGATAAGTCTATATCATAAATCGGTTTCACATTAGTTGAATTAGGGAGATAAATAAATTAAACTTTTGAACCATATTCTAATTCGCCAATTCTAATTTTCTGAACTTCACATGTACAGTATACTAAAGCCTAAAGTCTAGAGTCCAAACCTTTTACTAAAAAGGGCCCTTTCGTTCATCAGACTTGTCCAGGGGCCGACAACCCGGGTTGTTTTTATTGTTTTGACTGTCTTCAGCCTGCTTGTTCTGAGCTCCAAAAAGAGCTTTTGACATCATGTCCTTATTCATTTCTATTTGCCAGAGCTGAAGTTGGCTGAATGACCAATGTTTACTTTCTCACCAGCCAGGAATCGTGTGTCGCGATCATAGGTGAGGTCTGTAGTCAAACAAAGTCAACGATTCAATAGTTAATACAATAAAATAAAAGTACAAGGCCTTTCTCTAGCGTTTACAGGTTTCCTCCGGGTGCTCCGGTTACCCCTACCACTAAAACATGTGCAATGGTTCACAGTCAATGAGTGTGTGTTTGTGAGTGCAACTGTAGCACTGCTGTTAATAAATACTGTCTTATTCGCATAAATAAGTATAAGTATATTTTATTCCACAGCCGTTTAGTGCCTCTTACCTATTGAATGATTTGCAGATGATCAAAATAGAAACACTCAACATTTCTGCTTCCTTCTGCACTGCAGCCATATTTACTTGCCTGGCTGAACATTAAAACCTCTGAATCATAGGAAGACTTTTACAAAGACGTATGACTCATGGTTCACTTTGTGCTCTGGAAGTGACAAGAAAGAGAGCAAGGAATACATAGTTCCCACATGACGTCACTACATACGGGGATTTGCCGACCCGGCGCCATTTGTCTTGGCATTCTGTGGGCCAAAAAATAGAAAAAGAAGCTGAAACGTGTGATAAAGTTGAAAATGGTCGTCTCCTGCTGGGTCAATGGATGTTCAAATCGTGCCGGAGGTTCCGTTAAACTTGGATTTTACAGTATACCCATCATTAGACTTCATGAATGTGAGAAGACTAAGCTTTTGTCAGAACAACCACGGAGGTTATGGCTTGCGAAGATAAACAGGCAAGAAACTCCCTCAAAACACGCAAGAATATGCTCGGAGCACTTTGTGTCAGGTGCGTATCGTATCTTATGATGTTTTGACAGACGTAATTTACTCAGTACTAACTTGTGTATGCTGATATCTGGTAACTTGAGAGTTTCATTATTTAGCGTTAGATTACTTTATTATGAGGAGGATCGGTGTCGCGTCCGAGGCTCTCGAGGGCAACGTAAATGTATTAAATAGATAATAATAGTTCTATGGTGGGCTAAAACAATGTTCACAAACAGCATTGCTTCTGTAAAAAGATCTGTGTCATAAAATAAACTGCTCTTTACGCCTGGAAAAATCAGTTGCCCACCATTCACCAAAACATACGGTCAAAAACGCGGAAATAAACAATAACAACAATCCAGAGTGTCCGTGTGGCATTAGCATTAATTAAATTAATTGTTAATATAATTAAAATAATTAAATGGAGCTCCAACTGGTATTAAATCTAAAGTTTTTGAGAAATGTTTGCATTGCTTGTTAATTTTTGCTGCATAATTTGATCAAATATGTAAAACATGTCCGTAGCACGTTAAACTGTGGTGCCATTGTATTAATATACAATTATTTGCTCAAAAGTTGCCCTTTTTTTTCAATTTGCGTTTGAATATCTACATTTATTCTCATTCTTCTGTTTAATGGAATGCACAAACACAGCAGCGTGCCATCAAAGATGGCGTCTCCGAGGAGGTCATGTGACATTCATTGGTCTGTGGGAACTATGTATAGAATGAGCTGTGAGGCATTTGCGTTTTTTGGCTGTATGTAAAGAAACCTCCATCCTTTCCATCATGATGTCCAAAATAAGCATAATTTATACCTGAATGAGTCGTAGAAATACAGCTAATTTAAACCAACACCTATAAGAACAAATATTTATGTTACAGATTTATTGCGTTTCCTTTAAATTTCCACCAATTAACTGGGTTCACACAAATGTTTCTACATAAATACATTTTCAAAGAATTAGAACATTACTATTAGTGAGAAGAGCGAAGCCAAAGAAACATGAAATAATCTCCAAAGGGAATGACTTTTTAAAACTTCAAAATAACATGAATTGGAAAAGGGCTGCAAGCTCTTGAGGCCAATCCACAGATTTCCGAGTTTAATATACACTGTATTATTGACTAGAAGTTAGTTTGGGTTTTAGGGTTTTTTTTGTCAAACATGGGAAAAAAATAGGAATGTCTAAGTCAACACATTTGCTCACATTTCAATAGAAAGCCACTGATGTCCTTTTGTGGTTAGTGAGAGACTTAAAGCTGGGGTACCTAAGTTTCACACCATAATGAACGCATTAATTAATGATTTATTTCAAGCATGAGCATTACACAATAACAAAAATTTAATTCATCACAAACTTGTGGTATCCTAAACATCATAGTAAACAACCTATATAAATACAGATTACATGTTTTTTTACAATGAAGTAATGCTCTTTGTTTGAAAGGGAGTGAGAAGAAGTGAAATATTTGTTCACTTAAACCCCCAACTAAATACCGGACACTGTACAACATAACAAAAGTACAACAAAGTTTTACATGAAACAATATTATACTGAATGAAACTATTCAAAATAAATCCATTTATAAAAACAGCTTTAAAACAGCACTACTTCTGTCACTACTCTTCATCTGAGAGTTTTTGGAGCTTCTGTCAAAGTGAAAAAAATGTAAAAGAGAGGACCATCCTTATACAGCCAATCAGCTCTCAAAGTGCCAAATTCAAAGTGTGCTAAATATTACTTTTTCTATTAAGACGAAGCTAGCATATTGTGGTCTGATTTGTTCCCAAAATGTTACGTTTGCAAGACGTTGTTCTATCGGGAACAACAAAGTGATCATTCATCAAAAAATAAAGTTAGGGACCCAAGCTTTAAACGGGACCTGTCTCCATTTGACGTTTGACCTTCCATCTATCGCCAGTGGCAAAAGTATTCAGCAGTGCACCTGAGCTATCTCTCATCACTTTGTTATAAGCTGGACTCAGTTTTCTCTCTGGGGATCTCTGTGGAGGAGATACAGGGAACTGCACAGTCAAAGTTATTGTTCCAACAATCAAAACCACCAAGATACATTTAAACATTTCTATAATCTATAATTAATTTTTCACAAAACACATGCGACCTTATATGGGCAAATAGCAGATAACAAGATTGACGCTAGCATTGTGATTAGAAATATCACACAAGCCATGGCAGATCATGTTTCTGAATGCGACGGGATTAAATGGCTTCTATAGGACGACCATGAGTAGAAAACGTGCGAAACGATTAAAGTGGGTGTTTCAAGTCGTAAGTCAAAGTGGGTTGGGAAAAACCCTTTACCCTAATTTCACAGACTTTGAATTGTAAAATACAGCCACGTTAAGTCCTTCATTCATAACGTGACTGTATTTTATCTAAATACACAAGTTAGTAAATATTCCTACTAATGAGTATGAGTACTGCAGTAGTTGTGTGTGTTCTTACCCAAAGGAATAGACCCTGCAGTGTTTTCTCCTGATGCTGTGGATCAGGCTGTAGCGTGGGTCTAAGCAGGCCGCCCAGGCTCCTTTAGCATCCGTTAGTCTTGCTTCATCCCCTCCCTCCGTAAGACAAGGCACCTGCAGCAGGAAACGGCATAAAATCAGCTTTATATTTGGCAGCTCAATGATGACTGAAAAAATGTCTACTGTATTGATTTCAAAAAGATATTGTTACACCTTTGTCTGCCCAATGTCATCTTCACATTACACCAGTTTTTTCTTATGTGTGTATCTTTTTTTTGTTTTATTGTTGCTGAGATCTCCTGGGGTATGTGTATGTCTGTCAGAATATGAAAAAATAATAATAATACAAAATATATATTGCTATAATCACAGGTATAACTCCAGGGCCATGTTGTGACTACATCATTTATTTTATTTATGTATTTGATTGGGACAATGCACATTAATGAACATCAGTATAAAACCAAATGTCAATATGCCGGATTATAGCTACCGAGCTAGTTTTCATCCGTCAGTCAGTCAAACTTACTACCACTTAACGATCTATTAAACGACTTACTAATAATTGATTACAGAAAATAATTGCTATTTAAAAACAATAGTCAACCAATTCTAATTTATACTACCAAGAGCCCAACTGTTGTTGTATCCTTATCCCTAGCCTATGGTACATGAAGGTGCCACTCTTCTGTCAGTGTGCCCCAGGGCAGCTGTGGCTAACGTGGTATGTAGTGAAAGAATAATGACACGTGAAGCGTCTTTGAGTGTCCGAAAAAGTACTATGAAAAAGACAAGGGTTTATTATTAATACTATTATACTTGCTCTTAAAAAATCAAATATTTTTGTAATATACACATCTTTTTGGCTACAGCTTTACCCAGACGGCCTGTGTGTGTTGGGCGTGGGCAGTCTTAGAGAAAAACATTAGACTTCATTGATTGAGCCGAGCTGTCGTGGGGCGTCTCCTCGAACAGCTCCACTGGGCCCTGTGTCAGTCAGCATTAAGCCTCCTCTTCCTCTTCCTCCTCCTCTTCCTCCTCCGCCTGCCACTGCTCTGATAGACACTGCGCTGCAGTCATTCTCCGCCTGTCCTCCTCTGTGAGAACACAACCTGAGCTCATTCTTCACAACTTTAAAGGCCCTGACAGCAGGAAGGAAGAAACTTTTCAGTCAAATTAAAGAAGGATCCTTAGTATGGACTTGTCTTCATCAGTAACAAGTTACTTACACAATACAAATTGATATAACTGATTGCTAATACTTAATAAAAGTATAACATTCAACTTTGTGAACATTTTTATTTGTGAAAATAACTGAAAAAGATTAAATGACTCGAAGTTAATTGAATGGACACTTTGAGTTTTTGTTTTGTTTTCAGAAATAAGATGTGAACTCCTGAAAGGACTACAAAAACCAATAACATTAATAAATGATGGAAAAATGTGTACGGACAATAGGGAAGCATATTGTGAGAAGAACTGTATAAGAGTCCTGGATTCAGCAGCTAAGGGGCAATGCATTTATTTTTTATTGAACCATTAAAATCTGTATGAAAACATACAGCACTCAAAATGAGGCTCCCACGTGTGGGAATTGGAAAAGTGCTGCTGATTATTCATCTCTTAAAGAGCTTATGCAGGGTTTGAATGTCTTAGAAATGGAGTTTTAATATTTTATATTGGAAAAACACGACTTAAGTTTTTGAAATTAATTTTTTTTTTTTTTTTGTCCGATCACCGCAAATCAAGAAAACATCCTAGCAACAGCCTTAACAACCGGAAAAAACCAGCGCTTCTTGCTCAGTGATGTCTCAGCAGGAAGTAGATCTCCTCCATACAGACAACTTTGTTAGTCTGTTTTTCGCGTTTGAATTGGTGGATATTCAAGAATACAAAAAGATGTGTTGCACTGCACTGCTCACAGACGCACAACAGGCTTCAGGGCAAAGGAGAAGAAACGAGGAGGCTTTGGACGACAAGTGAGGAACAGGGAGAAGAGGAAGAGGACTACACACATGTTGACGAAGACGAGGAGGATGAACTAACACCAAACTGTTTGGTTCATGTGTTCATTAAGTTACACAGAAACCAGCACCTGCCTCAGTGGAAACGCTACAGCGAGCGGCGCCAGGAGTAACCATGGATCTATTAAAATAACAGGCAATCAGGCATCCATCCATCCATTTTCTTCCGCTTTATCCGTTGCCGGGTCGCGGGGGCAGCAGTCTAAGCAGAGACGCCCAGACTTCCCTATCCACACACACCTCCTCAAGCTCGTCCGGGGGGACCCCTAGGCGTTCCCAGGCCAGCTGAGAGACATAGTCTCTCCAGCGTGTCCTGGGTCTTCCCCGGGGCCTCCTCCCGGTGGGACGTGCCTGGAACACCTCCCCAGGAAGGCGTCCAGGAGGCATCCTGAACAGATGCCCGAGCCACCTCAACTGGTTCCTCTCGACGTGGAGAAGCAGCGGCTCTACTCCGAGCTCCTCCCGTGTGACCGAGCTCCTCACCCTATCTCTAAGGGAGCGCCCAGCCACTCTGCGGAGGAAGCTCATTTCGACCGCTTGTATCCGCGATCTCGTTCTTTCGGTCATTACCCACAGCTCATGACCATAGGTGAGGGAGGGAACGAAGATTGACCGGTAAATTGAGAGCTTTGCCTTTCGGCTCAGCTCCCTCTTTACCACAACGGTCCGATACAGAGACCGCATCACTGCGCACGCTGCACCGATCCGCCTGTCAATCTCACGCTCCATCCTCCCCTCACTCGTGAACAAGACCCCGAGATACTTGAACTCCTCCACTTGAGGAAGGACCTCTCCACCCACCTGGAGAGGGCAAGGCACCTTTTTCCGGTCAAGCACCATGGCCTCGGATTTGGAGGTGCTGATTCTCATCCCAGCCGCTTCACACTCGGCTGCAAACCGTCCCAGTGCATGTTGCAGGTCCTGGTTCGTTGGAGCCAGCAGGACGACATCATCCGCAAAAAGTAGAGATGAAATCCTGTGGTTCCCGAACCGGACCCCCTCCGGCCCCTGGCTGCGCCTAGAGATTCTGTCCATAAATACAGTGAACAGAACCGGTGACAAAGGGCAGCCTTGGCGGAGGCCAACATGCACCGGGAACAGGTCTGACTTACTGCCAGCAATGCGAACACAGCTCTGGCTCCGGTCATACAGGGACCGAACAGCCCTCAGCAGAGGACCCCGGACCCCGTACTCCCGGAGGACCCCCCAAAGGACACCCCGGGGAACGTGGTCGAACGCCTTCTCCAAATCCACAAAGCACATGTGGACAGGTTGGGCGAACTCCCATGAACCCTCGAGTATCCGATGGAGAGTATAGAGCTGGTCCAGTGTTCCGCGACCGGGACGAAAACCACACTGCTCCTCCTGAATCCGAGATTCGACCATCGGACGAAGCCTCCTCTCCAGTACCTTGGAGTAGACCTTACCGGGGAGGCTGAGGAGTGTGATCCCACGATAATTGGAACACACCCTCCGGTCCCCCTTCTTGTAGAGAGGGACCACCACCCCGGTCTGCCACTCCATTGGCACCGCCCCCGATCGCCACGCGATGTTGCAGAGACGTGTCAGCCAAGACAGTCCTACAACATCCAGAGACTTTAGATAGTCAGGACGGATCTCATCCACTCCCGGCGCCTTGCCACCATGGAGGCTGCCAACCACCTTGGTGACCTCGGCCAGGGAGATGGAAGTATCCGCCCCAACATCCTCAGCCTCTGCCTCCTGGACGGGGGACGTGACGGGGGGATTGAGGAGAACCTCGAAGTATTCCTTCCACCGCCCGACAATATCCCCAGTCGAGGTCAGCAGCTCTCCACCCGCACCGTACACGGTGTTGGCAAAGAACTGCTTCCCCCTCCTGAGGCGCCGGACGGTTTGCCAGAACCTCTTCGAGGCCGACCGATAGTCATGCTCCGAACTCCTCCCAGTCCCGGGTTTTTGCCTCTGCAACAGCCCGGGCCGCGGCACGTTTGGCCTGCCGGTACTGGACAGCTGCCTCAGGAGTCCCACGAACCATCATTGCTCGATAGGACTCCTTCTTCAGCCTGACGGCATCCCTTACTGCCGGTGTCCACCACCGGGTTCGGGGATTGCCGCCGGGACCAGCACCAGAGACCTTGCGACCACAGCTACGAGCCGCCGCATTGGCGATAGAGGAAGAGAACATGGTCCACTCGGACTCGATGTCCCCCTCCTCTGCCGGGACCTGGGAGAAGCTCTCCCGGAGGTGTGAGTTGAAAGTCCGTCTGACAGGGGGCTCAGCGAGACGTTCCCAGCAAACCCTCACTACACGCTTGGGCCTGCCAGGTCTGACCGGCCTCCTGCCCTGCCAGCGGATCCAACTCACGACCAGGTGATGATCGGTTGACAGCTCCGCCCCTCTCTTCACCCGAGTGTCCGAGACACGCGGTCGAAGGTCAGATGATACGACTACAAAGTCGATCATCGACCTCCGGCCTAGGGTGTCCTGGTGCCACGTGCACTGATGGACACCCTTGTGCTCGAACATGGTGTTCGTGATGGACAGGCCGTGACTGGCACAGAAGTCCAACAACTGAACACCGCTCGGGTTCAGATCAGGGGGGCCGCTCTTCCCGATCACCCCTCTCCAAGTGTCACTGGCATTTCCCACATGGGCGTTGAAGTCCCCCAGGAGAATAACGGAGTCCCCGGGCGGTGCACTGTCCAGTACCCCTCCCAAGGACTCCAAGAAGGCCGGGTACTCTGCACTACCGTTAGGCCCGTAGGCCGTCACAACAGTGAGAGACTTGTCCCCCACCCGGAGGCGGAGGGACGCGACCCTCTCATTCACCGGGGAGAACTCCAACACGTGGCGGCTGAGATGGGGGGCAATGAGTATGGCCACCCCAGCTCGCCGCCTCTCCCCGCGGGAAACACCAGAAAAGTGGAGCGTCCAACCCCTCTCAAGGAGTTGGGTTCCAGAGCCCAAGCTGTGTGTGGAGGTGAGGCCGACTATCTCTAGTCGGTATCGCTCAACCTCCCCCACAAGCTCGGGCTCCTTCCCCCCCAGTGAGGTGACGTTCCACGTCCCAAGAGCCAGATGTTGGGTGTGTGGACTGGGTCGTCGAGGTCTCCGCCTTCGACTGCTGCCCAGTCCTCTCTGCACCTCGCCACCACGGACCCCTCTGCAGGTGGTGAGCCCACAGGAGGGACTGCCCACGTCATCCCTTCGGGCTGAGCCCGGCCGGGCCCCGTGGGCTAAGGCCCGGCCACCAGGCGCTCGCTTGCGAGCCCCGACCCCAGGCCTGGCTCCAGGGTGGGGCCCCGGCTGCGCCATGCCGGGCGACGTCACGGTTTTTGTTGTCGTGCTGTCCATGGTTGGCTTCGGACTGCGCTTCGTCTGACTCGTCACTTGAGACCTGTCTGCCATGGGAGACCCTACCAGGGGCATGAAGCCCCAGACAGCATAGCTCCCAGGATCATCCGAGTGCTCAAACTCCCCCACCACGTTAAGGTGGCAGTCCAAGGGGGGAGCAATCAGGCAATATCAATGAAATGTGTCGTTTCTATTATCTATCATGGGAAAAGATTATATTTTATAAATGTTTGAGTCTGAAAACAGCTTTGATCTTTGCTGTAATTCTATATTATTGTACCTTTGTGTTAAAGGTGAAATATGAGAACATCCCTGTTATTCCCTGTTTAAGGAACGTGTATGAAGTAGGGTGTATGAGTCTGTCAGGATCCCGCTGCATTAACTTTGATTTGGTTAACATGAAAACATCGCCGGAGGAGAGTGAAAACTGCATTTTTGAGGTTGTAATTTCCCTCGCGGTCCCACCGGTGTTTGTCAAACGTTTAAGAGGTGTGGGTGCACGCTGTCGAGGATTCAATAGCATTTTTGTCTGTCAGTCAGTCTGTTGTTGTTGTCGACGTTTTTTTGTTGTTGTTTTTATGACACTTTTCACACTTACTGGCCCACTATTTATTTTCCCTGTATAAGAGGAGCGTTTGCTTTTGCTATCTAAATGTGTCATTGTGTGGATTTTTTTTCTGTATTTGGTTTTATCTTGATATTAGCGTTGTGGTTTCATTACGGTTTTGCCACGTGACAAAACGCATCATCAGGGTCTGATTCCAGGTCTGCGTTGGCCTCTTCTCTTTGTCTGAGGAAGCATCAGGGTCAAACAACTCTCTTTGCTCTTAATTCGTTGATAATCGGTCCGTAAACAAGGTATTTTTGCTGGTTTCTCGTTCACTGTTGGAATCGCTGTTGGAATCGCTGTCCATTTTGAAGAGCTGGCTGGTGTGACGTCACACTTCCAGGTTTGAGGCCGAGACAATGCAAATGTATTTTTCTATTTGATAAAAGGATAATTTTTACCGGAATCAATTTCAGACCAACATTAGTTAATTATCCGTCTAGCAATTTTGATTTCCACAATTTTTTTGACAAACCCGCCTGAGAAACATACTTTTGATGCTTTTAGTATTTTTAACAATTAGCTTGTCTTCAGAAAATAAGTGGTCACCTCAAGAAAAAAAAGAAAAAACAGTTTTATAGGACATAATCCACAAAAACATAATTTCACTTTTAACATTGAATATACCTATTTTGGTAAACTTTACTTTAAGGTGCACTCTACAGCTTTCCGGGTGACTTCCCACATTAATCTGACATGTACCTTGTCTGAACGGAGATTGTCCACTTTTAATGCAGATTTTTACAGGACAATAAGTGACATATAGAGACTCCTATAGTGCACTAATAGGACAAGAGTATAGGACTGACGCAGCAGCAGTGTGATCTCACTTCTGGTGTGGTGATGTATTGAAGGAACCTCCTGGCTTCCTCCTGCAGAGACGGCCTCTCGCTGGCCCAGGGCTGCAGGTCGATGTGCCACCGCGGAGACTACGGCAACAAAAAGAAAGTCATTATTCATTTCCGAAGAATGTGTTCACTTCACAAACAAAGTGGGCTGCATATAAACACTTCTAAATCATTCGCTCCGATCTCAGAACTAGGCCACGGTGATGTTGCACTGGTTTTCCCTGTTGTTAGCGAGGAGACCCTTTAGCCCTACATAATGTCTCTCGTACAGAAAAAGCCTTGAAGCATGAATTACTAAAACGGGGAAAAGAAAAGAAACATCAACTCATCTCTCACACACTTGCAGAAGATTGCAAGTAGTTTTGTGCATGCATTCCTTGAGACAGGCAGAGCACGGCTTCATTTCAACTGGAATGTGTGTTTATAATTAGAGCGGTCCTAAAACTACTGACGCAGCAGAGGGAAGAGTGAAATCTGAATTATCTTATGGACTGGTCTGGGCCGTTGTGGGTTTGTTTTTGTGTCTTGTGTTCGTAAAGTTCATTGTGATTTAGGGCTATACAAGAAAAAATTGTATTGTATTGTATTTAGAGACACACTACTTTATGAAAGCCAGATCCTGTTAGACCTCTGAGGCAAAGCAGGGCATGGCCTGGTTAGCACGGTGATGGGAGACCTCAGTGGGGTGGCTGTGGCTGTGCCAAACTGTGGCCTTAGGCAAGACACTTATCTCTTATTGCCTTGTATAAGTCGGATGTGTGCATGAAATGGAAGACGATGCAGGCATGGTTGGTGGTGGTGGGTTGGCACATACTGGTTGCCTGGCTTCTGTCAGTGTGCCCCAGGGCAGTTGTGGCTACAGTAGTCGTTCATCACCACTGTGTACACTGAGTGAAAGAATAATGACATGTCCAAAAGACTGAATTTATGTTGCACAATGTATTTCACAGTAATTTTTACAATTTTGAATAACACGGACACTACTTTATGCCTGTGATGAAATTAAGTGCATACTATTAAAAGACTTGAGCAGAAATCAAAAGATATATGGTTGAGATATAACCCACACTGGAACAAAACGTAGAAAACTATGTTAACAATAGCCATTACATTTAAAACAAGTGGAGGATAAAGGGTTAAATCTCACATTCTCCCCACGTCCCAAATGATTAGATTACAGCCAACAGACTCATATTGCCACATTGGTCGCGGCCCTCCTCTGCACACTGTTAACACAATACATTATGTGTGACAGGGCTGGCTGTGGTGATTTCCTCCTCCACTGATCCAGGACCAGCCCACAGACACACAGACAATGGCCTGTCCTGTTTAATAGATGAAATGCTGAAACCCACACAGAATTTGGCATCCAGCTTTTTATCGATTTGCGGTGTCAAAACATCGGAGCGCTTGCCGAATGTGTGTTGAATAAGCATCTGTAATCCGTCTGCTCAGTGTGTTCAGAGAGCGTTGTAGCAGATTCAGTGGGCTTCAATGTTTAATATATTTGCCTTTGAAAGTATTGAAGGGATTACAGGGAACAGTATATACACTTTTTTTTACTACTTTGTTTGCTTAGGGACAGACACATTAATCAACAAAGCACCAGTATTAGCTTTACATGGAGTTTCCAACTGTAGTCCATTATGTTTTTCAACCAATGTTTATTCTGTGGTTCTTGTCTGCAGTTCCTATGTGTTTACATTCAGTTATGTTTTTTGGATTCTTGTTTATTAAATTATTATTTTTGCAGTATTACATTTTGGTTCCTTCCTCCTTTTCACCACGTAACACTATCTTTCTCATTCTTTATTTTTATTTTTACAATGACCATTCACTGTCACTGGCTGCCTAGATTACTTTATAAATCCTTCCTATTTTAGTGTCATAAAGAGAAGTCCTATGAGTTTGACATTATACATCCGCTCTAAACTCCAGGTCACTCTCTGTTGTCACTCTATAAATAAACTTTGATTGACTGATGAATTAATGAGCGACTTCCTCCTCCAGTGGATGCCCCATAAACATAGATGTCCGCACACTACATTATCATCCAATAAATTTTAGTTGACTGAAACAAAATCTCACTCAAATCCATCCATCTTTGTATCTCCATCCATCCATCCATTTTCTTCCCCTTAATCCATTTCTGGGTCGGGGGGGTGGCCAGAGCTGCACCCAGTACACAGAGCACCAGCCCCTCACTGATCCTCCTGCAGGTGGTGAGTCCACAGGAGCTGATATCTTTCAGCGGGAGCTTCAGACAAAGTGGGGTTAAGTGTCTTGCCCAAGGACACAACGACAGCAGTCATCAGTGGGAGTCGTGAAGTAGGTCTCACGGTGGGCTTGAACCCATGACCTTCAGGCTCAAAGGCCAATGCTCTACCAACTGAGCTACTGTCGCCCCATCTTTGTATCTATACTTTACAATAGCCCACTTCCATACGTGTAAATATTGTGATGTTGTCTTGTGCATGGGGCTTTACTGATGGCAGAAAGTGGATGGACTTATTTTAAACAAAACAACACTAATAATACAATCTTTTTTGTACATCAGATTAATTAATTGTTTGAAGCAGTTTATCAAGAACTCCTCAACCTGGTCACTTCAACCTGACCTTAAGTTGATTTTTTTCCAATCAACTTAAGACTGGATAAAAAACCATCCAAAATAAGACAGAGTTATAACTGTCTACCTTTTCTTGTGAGAATTAACTTTAAGAATATGTATAACATGCCATAGTAGCCCAATTATACTCTTTCTATCCATATTTAGTTTTAGGTGGTACAATTTCAAGTACTCCCTGTAATTACCTTGCATCCCCCTAGGCGTCCATGTACCCCTGCTTGGGAAACACACTGCTCATGGACAAAGGTTGATCAAACTCGCTCTGATTCCTATCAACTTACAATGAAGTGTAAACTCCACTAGTTCAGCAATCGTTTTGAGTCACACTCACTATTTTGGGATCATAAAATCCAGGACCTTTGTAAATCCAGATATGAGCCACAGATCATTCACAGGGGAAACTCAAGCTTGCCTTAGCAACCATGTTAGCAACACGTCTGCTATTGTTACGACGTGGAGCAAACCCTGTCGGAACAAATGCCCATATATGGAATTTGGCTCTGGCTTGCTTGTGTTAAAATCGGCTTCTTCCACATTCAGGAAACAAGCTATGGGTGACATCAGCAATCGGTCAGTCTAGTCTATCAGTAGATCCATAAATATGTAGAAAATCATTGACTTCTATGCTGTTATAACGACATGCTGCAGTTTTAACCATAGTTGTGTCATAAAAGATCCATACAGTGTTATTACGTAGCACACATGGATTTCCGCCTGTTCCGACATCCTGAAACACCATTAAAACATTCAACCTTCATAAACCCACAAGTTAATCCTTCATGTTTTCTGCTTCCAGTTAAGCCCCGCCCACACCTGTAAATGTGGGCCACAACATTTCAGACAAGCCAGAGGTAGTTTTCATGAACAGAATCATGTCAACAAAGAATATTCTAATCTTTGAGTGTATATTTTAGGAATGAAAGGCTTGTGTTCTGTCTATATTTGAGATCTGGGATAATGGCATAATCTCCTCTTATAAGATCTAAGTCTCTTTTCATCTGGAGATATTGGGACTGGCAGAAAGTGCGGTCCCAGCTGTCTCCATGTCCTGCTGAGTCATATATCAAAAGGAGCCCCGACAGAGAGAGAAATGGCCCGTTACAGGGTATAAGTGAATTAAAGCAGGGATTACACTCATCTTGTTTAATAACAGCGGTAATCTCATTTGAGTTTAGCCTGGTCCCAGAGGAGGGGTGACGTGGAGCAGGATGGAGGGAGTTTGTTGTAAAACTATTGTTGTGATCAAAAGGCAAGGGATTTGACAGTTGTTTTTGTGATGGTAGAGATGTGTTTGACCACACGCAGGGCTGAAAAGTCACTGAGGACACAATTATGCAGCCTTTTGATGCACCCAAGTTTATTCAGAAGTTGAGGATAAAGCTGAATATGGAAGGCTGAAAATCAGAATATATTAGTTATAAATGAGAAGCAGTAACACTAGAAGTATCGTAGCTTATAAACATCAGAACTCTCTGAGGAGTCAATTTGACAGCTTTTAGTTTTGGAAGTGCATGTGATAACTCAGCATATTTGTACCTTTTTGCTTGTCCGAACTTAGTAACCTTTTCTGTCTCTATATGTGGTTCTCATTATTTTATTTTGATATCTGAGCGGTTCTTATGGATGGTGTTAACTAAAAATAAAGTGTAGCCATTTTCTGTTGCTTTTTAATGGGCTGGTCCTGGACTGGTCTTAGACTGGTCTTGGACTGGTTCTGGTCTGGTTCTGGACTGCTTCTGGTTCTGAGCAGAATCATCTGACCATAGTTACCATAGCAACAGACTGTTTACCTTATATCTTTTAACTTTTTGCACATTTCTTGCCTATTTTCATTCCTGAGTGATCAATAAAACAAATTCTGATCCATCTTATCTGGTCTAAGTCATAAAGTATACCAGGTTGTTCAAAATGGAATAGATCAACTGGTGTGGTATGACATCCCTGGGTTGGGTTTGTAATAAGAATGTATCAATCAAACGCACAGTACTGAGTCTTGTTTGTCACACTATGTTAAAAAGACATACATGTATAAAGTTACAAAGTCCAGGTTTCTCATTCATCCTACAGGCCGCATGGCACCAGTTTTATCGGCCCACGTGCTGTACATCAAAGACCATCAAAGTCAACGCCTCCTACCATCGCCCGAGGTGCACAGCAGTAATCTGTCCCTCTCCTCTGCCTTTTCTTTACGTCTATATACTGTGCATGGAGGAGGGTGGCACTACTGCAGCCATTTAAATGTCTCCTCTCAGGAAGGCTGGGAGTTAGCAGAGATAAATGTTGATCCTATTACAAGTATTACTATGGTAGATTTAAACAAAATCTACCAGTCTCTCTCTGGTCTCTCTGCGCACTCTCTATGATTTCTCTCTCTCTCTGGGCTCTATCTCTCTGATCTCCCCTGGTATCTTTCTGGTCTTCCGCTGGTCTCGCTCTGGTTTCTCTCTCTCTGGTCTCTTTCTCTCTCTGGTATCTCTCTGGTATCTATCTTGGCTCGCTCTGGTCTCGCTGTGGTCTCTTGCTGACCTCTCTGGGCTCTCTCTCTGATCTCTGGTCTTCTCTGGTCTCTCTCTCTGGTCCCTCTCTGGTCCGTGAGGCTAATCTCAAAAGACATGGCTTATTGTATGATCTATTCTTTTTACTGATTAAATTGCCAACTGTTGATTGTTCTATAATCAAGGACGCGCATATACTGTATGTAATTTGTTTTGTGAGCTTTTGTTTCCTTATTTTGTACTATTTGGTTGTAATATGAAAAGTGTGATTGTAATTGAGTTTGTGGGGGTGGGGTTAAATGAATCTTATGTATTCATTTGTTTTCTTTTTATGGCTGGATGTGTTTCTGTTGCTCCTGGACACTTGAATTTCCTACGGGGGTCAATAAAGCATCTATCTAGTGTTTTCTGGAGGTGAACATTTTTACACCTGCCATTGTGCGTGCCATCTTGTATTTTTGTCTTTTGAATACAAAGGTGAGGAATAGTTCAGCTGTGACATTTAACAGCAAAGGTAATTGTCACACATTGTACTAACTGTAATTGTAGATTTGAGAGATTGAACACATATAAAATCAGAATATTTACATTAGCATTAGCAGGTGATTTTACAGTACTCCTATAAGGTAACTAGTACATGGCCTATAGGCACCGACAGTAAATACTAATAATAATAATAACTAAAAACAATTGCTATACCACAGAGATGATTGCCCTTTTTCTTTGGGTAGCAGTAATTATGAATAACAAAACAAAACAAAAACCCTGAGCAATATGTCCATTTGATGTCACCAAAAGCGTTATATACACCTGCATTTACAAACATGGCACTGGCACTGCTCCAACGTGGAACCTATACTTCTGATGTGACTGAAAGTATTATAAAGTCCATTCAGTCCATTTAGAGTCTTTCAAGAATATAATCATGTTCAGTCCCTTATAGCATTTTGGATGGAAAACAATAAAAGAAATGCATTTGCGATTGAACTAAAACATAATCAGTATTTCTGACGCCTACGCCTATCTCAGTTTTGTTGTTCAAAGTACAGCCTAATATTCTGGTCCATTAGATTCTATGTAAATACGCTGTTTCTTTGCTGCTAACTCAAACCTGCTCTTTATCGTCCCTGGCCATTCACACATGGACACACACACACGTAGAGGAATCCACACGCATTACTCAGATTCTGCAGAGCCCTTTGATTTGTTGTGGCACGAGACGTCAACATACATCTCTTTAGAATTGGCCGTTGCCTTGGAAACAGACCTCTAGCTGTAACTTCGCTCATTCTCGCACTCTGAATGTAAGATGTTCACACGACATGTAACGTGTAAAGGCGGAAAAAAGACTGGTGCATGCGGTGAGATTGTGTTGTGCTTGAGTGTGAGATCTGAGCAGGCAGATGGAGGCCTGATTTTTTAATGTCGCCGAGAAATGTGTGTGCGTGAAAAGAGCGTGAGTGGTCCTGGATCCCGTCCCAGATTCAAGATTTGGGTTTGAAGTCTTTGGGGGGCAGTTGGACCACACTGAGCGCCATATGACATGCTATTTCTCAAGATACAGCGCCGGGAACTATAGAACCAGGCTGGCGTTTTGTGTGTTGCCAATTAACTCAAAATTAAGTAGAGAAAATGTTTAAGTTCAAGCTGCTGGAGTCACTAAAAATGTGTCAGTTTTAAACAGCGCTTATTTGTACACTTTAAAGGTATACAAGAGGATTTTCTACTTCCGGGTGGATCATCAACACTATTGGTCCTCCCAAATGTCAATCATTCTGTTTATACGTCCTTGTCCTATAAGAGCAGAGAGTTTTGTTCAAAAAGTAGAAAGGGCGGTTCTTTCCTAAAATATGGGAAAATCCTCCTTTATACCTTTAAGTAGCAGTATATGAAAATCTCTCCCACTCTCCCTGACTCAGGTTGCCAGATATGCAGATGAATACAGCTGGGACCATAATAACATCTGAATAGACAAGAGTATTGTCAACAACAAATCTATAACCAACAACTTTTTCAAAAAAAAATCTTGGTTTTGTTCCTTGTTTTGTCTGTAATGATTTGAGAATCATAACTAGACCTTTTTAGTTCTGCAGCCACATTTTACTTTACCAGTGAGATTAGCTTGATGCTGTGAGTTCTGGCAACCCGGATCACGGACTTTCTGATGGGTGAAGATGAAAAGAATAACAAGATTTAGGGGCTGTAAAACTAATATGGAAATTAAAGCATCTCGGCTGAACTACTGTTCTCAGTTAAAGAAGTATTGTAAAAGACCATGGTTTAATAATGCCTTTTGACAGATTAGGGCCATTTAATGATGACACACACACACCTACACACACACACACACACACACACACACACACACACGAGACCATACTAGGCAATGTGGGTGAAGTGTCTTGCCTATGGACACAATGCAAAATGTCAGATGATCTAACTCCAGCTCACGTTCCATATTAGTAGGAATCCAACACTTGGTGAATTTCTTACTTCATCTACTTTTACTCTGGATTTTACTTTTATTAAAAAACGTATTTTTGCAGTTTTTGTGATTATTGCCTCATGAAACGTGACAGCCTCCCCAGCTTTAACTGCATGTTTGATTCACTTTTTTGGGGTAAAATTCACAAAAGATTAACATTTCGTTTCTGTTTCAGAAAATCAAACTTCATAACTTCTTTTCTCTGTACATGACTGGATTTGAATGACCTTAAACATGTTTTATAACCTCCATTAAAATAACACCCCAAGTCAAGCTGCAGCTTTAGAACAATTTTCAAACTGCAAAAATTATGATAGATCTACTGAAGTTCTGTAGACTAAATAGACCACCATTGTGCCACAATTCTAGTCTCAGCATGAAACTCTTACCGCGTTTTGGACAATTTAAAGCTTTTGTGGTTCTGCCTTTAAAATACTTTATAATAAATCCATAATGAACATTCAAACTGTATTTGAATATGTTCTTATAGTAACATACCTCACTATCAATCGTTCATTCAACTCAAAACATGAGAAATTCTTCAGTAAATCCATAACAACTTTTAATCATTATTCACCACTTGTAGAAACATGGCATGTACTTGTCTTATAAACACTGGAAACTCTGCTGGATTGCCTTCAAAGCAGATGGGTCAATGCTCTCTTATTCACGTCAGCAGCAGAACAGAGGCTGAGATCTCGGGGGAATGTTCCGGACAAGAGGAAAGCTTTGTCCCTTCGAGAGCGTTCAATATTTTGACACTGACATTTCACCCTCGAATAGTGTCTTTGTGCGGACTCATAACACAACGGGACCAGTGTCAAGGCTGTCTCCCTCATCTAAGTCCTTCATCGGAACCCTGAGATGGATTTGAGTCAGTTTTTCTTTTTTTTTTCCAACACAATTTATTGAACATTTTTATATTTAACATTTTACAAAATGTCATTCCTGAACAGTTGGATGACAGAAACACCCACCAACCCACCCCCCACAATCCCCAAGCTGAGCGCAATTGTGTTGCTCTTACAATTTTGTTATTACTGTACGTATCAATACTTCACAAAAAGAAAAGGTGAATAAATAAAAATAAAAATAAAAAGGGAATCCAATGTCAAAGTGCAAGTTTGCTTTTCAGTCGACAGAAAAAGAAGTAATTTCCTTAAAATATTGAAGCACGGGGTTCCAGTTTTTATAAAAATTTTCTGTACTGCCCCTCAACGAGAATTTGATTTTTTCTAACTTTAAGAAGGACATCGTGTCCCGTAACCAGGATGTCGCAGAGGGCGGTACCGGGTTTTTCCACAAAAGTAATATTTTGCGTCGGGCTATGAGTGAAGTAAATGAGACAATATTTTTTTGCTTTGATGACAATTTTATCCCTGGTTTAGGTATACCAAATATTGCAATGAGAGGGCACGGTTCAAGGTCATGTCCCAATATGTCTGAAATTGTTCTAAAATATGATTTCCAGTAGTTTTGTAGCCCAGGACAAGACCAAAACATATGTGTATGATTACAGGGAGTTTGAGAGCATCTATCACATATGTCTGAAGCGCTTGGGTATATCTTTGCTAGTCTGGATTTGCTATAGTGCGCCCTATGGGCCACTTTGAACTGTATCACTTGTAATCTTACACAAGATGAGCAGGACTTTATTTCCCCGAGCGCAGCAAACCACCACTCTTCATTCAAGGAAAAACCTAGTTCTGTCTCCCAGTCGGTCTTAATCTTGGCCAAGGCAGGTGGTGAGTCTGGGATAAGTAAATTGTATAAAAAGGAGATATGACGTTTGGATTTTTTAACAAGAGGACGGAGAAGATCAATTCCAGATTGGGGAGGCAAAACCGGGAATGAAGGGGTATTAGATTTGAGGAAATTACGGATTTGAAAATATCTGAATAGGTCAGCTGCCTGAAGGTTAAATTTAGAACGAAGAACTTCAAAACTGGAAAAAGTTCCATCTGTGTAAAAATCTCCAATTGTTCGTAAACCTTGCCTTACCCAGACAGAAAATCGAGTGTCCATCTGAGCAGGTTTAAATAAGATGTTCCGAACAGGAGTACTGAGAGGCAGTGTTTCCCAATTACAATTGTGTTTGATTTGCTGCCAAATTTTTAATGTAACTGATACAATTGGGTTGTCTGTATACTGTTTGAGTTTTAATTTTCCAGGATAACATAATAGAGCTACCAAAGAATGTTGACAGGATTCACGCTCTAACTGACACCATACTGTTTCAGGATAAAAAGCCCAATATAAAATTTTATGCATATTGCATGCCCAGTAATAGTGTTGCAAGTCAGGTAGTCCTAGACCACCATCCACTCTAGCCCTTTGTAATAATGATTTTTGAAGCCTAGGAGGTTTGTTGCTCCATATGTATGACGAAATTAGGCCATTGATATTGGTAAAAAATGATTTGGGTAGATATAAAGGGAGGCACTGAAACAAATATAGGAAACGGGGGACAATGTTCATCTTTACGCTTTGTATCCTTCCAGCCAAAGTAAGTTGGAGTTTGTCCCACTTTAAAAGGTCCTCCTTTACTTTGCTAAGGAGAACAGCGAAGTTGTCATCAAAAAGACTCTTCATGGTTTGTGAAATGTTAATGCCCAGGTACTTAAATTTGGTTGTGGAAAAGGTAAATGGTATGCTAGAAGGAGAAATATTTTTCGCTGATTGATTGATGGGAAAAAAGTCACTTTTTTCTATGTTAAGTTTATATCCTGAGAAGCTTCCAAAACTTTTAAGTGTATCCAAAACATGAGGTATAGCATTGACCGGGTCAGAAATATATAGTAAAAGGTCGTCCGCATATAACGAGACCTTGTGTTCAACACCACCCCTCCTTATGCCTTGAACAGAACAGTCTCCCTTCAGCGTTACAGAGAGTGGTTCAATTGCCAAGGCGAAAAGGAGGGGGGACAATGGACAACCCTGCCGTGTTCCTCGTGTTAGAGGAAAAAAAGAGGATCTCAAAGAGTTAGTGCAGACACAGGCCTGTGGTGAAGTGTAGAGCAGCCGAATCCAAGAGGTGAAGTGGTCGCTGAAACCAAATTTTTTCAGCGTTAAAAATAGGTAAGGCCACTCCACACGATCAAAGGCCTTTTCGGCATCCAAAGAAACCACCGCCTCTGCAATTTGTAATGGGGATGGAGAAAATGCAATATTGAGAAGACGGCGAACATTAGTAAAAGAGTGTCGGTTCCTTATGAAACCTGTTTGGTCTTCTGAGATTATATTGTGTATAACTAATTCTAGTCGGCAAGCGAAGATTTTTGCTAATATTTTTACATCAACATTTAAAAGTGAAATGGGTCTGTAAGATGAGCAGTTGTCAGGGTCTTTGCCTTGTTTGTGTATTAATGAAATGGTGGCCTGTCTGAGAGAGGGCGGTAGAATTCCCTGCCGAAAAGAGTCGTTATACATATTAAGCAACAAAGGGGCTAATTTTGTGGAGAATTGTTTATAAAATTCAACCAAAAAGCCGTCAGGCCCTGGTGACTTTCCGCTGTTCATTGATTTGATGGCCCTGCAAATCTCGTTTAGTGTAATTGGGGAGTCTAAAGAAGCACTCTCCTCAACAGTCAGCTTGGTCATGTCTATATTGTCAAAAAAGCGGAACATTGATGAGTCGTCAGCTAGACAGT